TAAGGGTAATTTCCATCCAATTTCCCTGGGAGCCATGAGCAAACAAGGTGATGCAAAGTCAGACCTGCCCTGGGAGTGGCTGTGAAACCAGAATCTCACTCCAAAGTTCCTGTTTGTACTGTGAAACCACGAGGCCCAGGCCACCGCCTCTGCACCCCACAGATCCCCCTGCAGAGACAGGCACCTCTGAGTGACCTGCAATGACCTCCTCTAACCAGACTCCATGCTCCTGAGGAGGCCCTGAAACGGCCTGGAGACAGCAGCCCCGAGGCTGAGCCATGCACCCACCTGTGATAGATCCAGAAAGGGGCCAGAGAACTATCTCGTGGGATCCATCCGTACAACGCCCCCTCCAGTCGGCTGATTTCCATCAGATAAACACCGAGGAAAACAAAGCCAAGCACCCGCACTAATTCATGACGCAAAATTAGCCTTGCTCTCTCTAAAACCACCAGTTCACTAGCTCATGTTCCGTTACATCGTGGCTGTCATTTCTTGCTGGCTGCTTTCCCTGTCCTTTATTCATTCTGGGTTAGAAGGTTAGAGGTAAGGGAAAATGCTTCTTCTTTTTTTAAAATTTTTTTTTTATAGAAATGCAGGTTTATTTCTTTTTTTTTATTTTTTTTTATTTTGAAGGAATATTTAATATTAACATTGTGAGTTATTATCTTTTGCATATCAAAGTTACACATTTCAAACAAATCGTCATTTATATTTACAGTATACAAATGCAAAGCATTAATTTCCCACTAAATCATCACTTTCTTAAAATGGTACATGTGATGTTATGAAATTAGCTATTAAGTATTCGAAATAGTGGAAAAGAGGTCCTTTCTTCAGTCTTTTTTTTTTTTTAAATATATATATATTTTTTTGATTTTTTTGCCCCTCCCTCCCTCCCTCACATCCCCTCCCTCCCCAGAGTTTTATGTCCATTGGTTGTACTTATGTGCATGTATAAAAGTCCTTCGGTTGATCTATTATCTCCCCCAGATCTTCCTCCCCTCCCCGCTGGAAAATGCTTCTTTTTAAAAAATATATTTTCATTGATTTCAGAGAGGAAGAGAGAGATAGAAGCCTCAATGATGAGGGAGAATCATTGATTGGCTGCCTTCTGCACGCCCCCTACTGGGGATCAAGCCTACAACCCCGGCCTGTGCCCTTGACTGGAATTGGACCCGGGACCCTTCAGTCCATAGAGTAGGCTGACTGAGCCAAACTGGCGCGGGCTGCTTCTCCTGTTGAGACTTCACCAAGGAGAGGCCATTGGACAAGGGAGCCGAAAGATTCCATTTCTCCCCATTTCTGTCCTCTTGGGGGTAGGAGTCTAGTCCTGCTCGGGGCACAGGGAGGTATAACTTCTATTCAAAGTAACCGTGTCTGCGGGACTTGCATTCAGCTTATCGATACTAACATCCCAATCCTCCATGTCTTCCTATAACTACATTTTATATTTTACGTAGATACATCTTCTCTATCTCTTATTCTTTATATCTCTCTACTGACAACGTTTGTATTAGGATGGCAGCAGCCCCATACACCTTGTGTTCATTGAGTCTCTTGACTGCATTATTTTCTCCTGTGCTTGATTTAATCTCATGTTTTTAAATTTATCATGGCCCCTAAGTATACGAAACCCACTGCTAAAGTCGCCAATAAGAGGCCATGCTGGGCGATTGGCCTGAAGTGAAATAAAAGTGACGAAGGACTACAAAGGTGGGAAATCGGTGATGGTTACTGTTCTCCAGCCACGCACGTCCCTCCCACCATCGCTACGAGCTTGAAGAACAAGGACAAAGTGAAGGGTCTGCTTCACTGGAGGGTCTGAAGGCAATGGGACCACGCTGAGGAGGGCACATATCAGACTCACAGAAACTCCGAATGGCCTGGATCGAAGACCAGCCACAGGACTTTCCCCTCAGCGCCGCGGCGGTCACGGCCAAGGCAAAGCGTCTGCGGTGCTGAGAGAAGAGGCTGGCCCACCTACTATGTTGAATTGACTTTTAGCTCTGGGTGGTTTAAGTGGCGCAAGAATCGTTATCAATTACATTAATTACGTCATGTGAACGCGAGGGTTAGCTGGGAGTGCTGGTGTGAAGGCAGCTGAGGAATTTTGGAAACTCCAGATAAGCTGACGGTGGAGGAAAAAGACTTGCCAAAGCAAATAGTCAAGTTGATAAAACCTCCCTAATCTGGAAAGGAGCGCCTGGAAGGACTTACGTCCACACGGAGGTCAAGTGGGTATCAGGTTCAGGGCGCTTAAGGACAGGATGGCCCTCTTGCTTGGGGGCAATGTTGCAGGATGCAAATTGAAACCCTTTGTACTCTGGCAGGTGGGACCCCCAGGGCCTTCCAGCACATGTGTAAGTACTCATGCCAGTGAGCTGCGGGGTTCCTGAGAAGTCACGGTGACCCCGCTCCTCCTCCAGGTTGCCTGCTGGCTTGTTATGCCAGTGAAATGGAGAGAAGGACGTTTGGAGAATAACGTACCTTTCAAGAGTTTACTTATTGTTGACCCTGCTCCTGAACATCGTCCTTTTACTGGTTATCTTTTTCCTAATGTCACAGTGGACATTCTCCTCCGAGCCACCACCTCTTTGAGATAACCAATGGATCGAGGGATTACAGCAGCCTCTAAAGCCTATTATCTGAGGGGGACTTTTGCACAGGCTACATGCAACCAGGGAAGATTCGAAGACACGGATGCAATCCTGGAAGGATGCTGCCATGGTCCTTAAGTTAAATTCATTGTAATTTCTAAAAATTAAAAAAAAAAAATCCATAACAGTGTTACAACAAGTCTATGTTGCCACACATTTTGTATAACTTTGTGTAATTACTCAATAATTTTTTTACATCATCCTTTAACCTAGGCAAGTATACATTTCTCAGGCAAACTATATAACTATGCTAATATTAAATCCAGATTCGTTTTAATCCAACAAAGCTTTAAAAGAATATATGATTGATAATATTAACAAACATAATTATTATTACACAAAATACTGATGGTTTGATATTGATGAATAAACACAAAAAATTGTGCAGCTTTTTACTTATGAAATGTGTTAGTTGAGTACTTGTGATCAGCATGATTGTATAGGTTTCAGGTGTGGGTTTCTATCTGAGAAGATCTGAATATTGCACAGTGTGCCCACCTCTCCACGGCAGAACTTCTCAACACAGTTTGCTTTATCTGCAAAAACATGGTCAAAATGCCATTGCTTGTAAACTCCCATAACTACACGTCAGATGTGCCAGCAGCAGCTACCTGGCCGCTCTATGTAAGGCTGGTAATCTTTTGCAGGATAAGTGGTGTCTTGCTTGCATTTGGGTTGTTGGCCTTGAGCACAGATAGACACAAAGTGTGGGCCCACTTATACCTGGCTGAGGAAATAGCTTTGAGAGAACAACAAACATTCACAAGTTAATCTTCAACTGATAAAACGCAGGTATCTTAAGTGCTGTAACTAGCCAGGATCCCACTGGCATTTCTTCCAGTGATGAATATTTTCTAAGAATCCTTGGGGCCTCTCACCTGTTCATCCTTCTCAACAAACAAATCTTGGGAAGGCAGCTTCCTGCCTTCTGGGCCTCTCTTAGATACACTTGCTCTCCCTGCACCCGTGATGTCAGCCAGAGAGGGATGGCGTGTCCGCGGAGCACTCGGAGCTTGCTCAGGGATGCCGGGTAAAGGAATTCTTCTTGGAGGCTGCCCCACCTTCTAATAAATCAGCTGTAACCAGCTACAGACCAGATGGCTACCAGCTGTAACCAGCTGTGCCCAGGAGTGGACTAAATGTGATTCTTGACAGACACTCCTTTCTCCCCACATTCCCAACTTGTCCCACTTTTACTCACGTCCACCTTGGAAATCATTTTCCCGGGGCTGCAGGAAAGCTCGCCATCTGGTCTCCTGACACCCCTTGTCTGAAGCTGTGTTGGGTGGACAGTTCTCCACACACACCTTATTGCTTCTCACTTTGAACTTGTGCTTCTGCTGCTCTCTTTGCTTGGGATGTTCCTTTCTTTCCCACCTTCACTTCCAGCCCCCAACATGTTGCCTAGATGGAGTCTGCAAGACTGAGCCCAACACGGGCATTCAAGAAGGGTTTCTAGGAGGAAGTGCCCCTCACCACCTCGCCCAGACTTCACGTAGTACCCTGTTTTCCTGTGTGTCTCCTCTCTCTGGACTTCTCTCCGAGACGCTCCAGGTGGGAGACCTTAGCTAATAAATGTCTCTTTCCACCTGGTCTGAACACGGCAACTAGTTCATAGTAAGTACTCAATGAATGTACCCAACTAACTCAAACAGAAGGGGGCTCAACCCTCTGCTGCCTTAGATCCTGAGAAGGTTGGATGTCTCTTCTTCAGGGCAAGTGCTTCTACCTTCCAGGGGGCTGGGGCAGAGAGGGTAAGGCCATAGCCCCTAACATCTGAGTGCCTTTTATTCTTTTACTTCGTTTTGGGAGAGGTCATGGCTCAGAGCCCTTGCGTTCACTAGGTGAATTTTAGGCTTGCTAATCTAGTGCAGTCCCTCTACATCCAGTCAGACTAGTGAAATGCTTACTTATTTTATTATTCCTGGACTAGTACCTAACACCTGATTCTAGAATAGGCAATGCTACAAAAGAAGAATTAGTGGTTATGAAAAAAAAAAAAAACTATAGGAAAATGTTTTAATTGAGACATTTCTATGCACTAATTAAATTTTTTGTTTCAAATGTAGGAATTAAGAAAGACAGTTATTAACCAATTTCTGTTAGTCCCTGTTAGGGGACACTGATGTTAAATAGGAATGACATTTGAGAATTTCTGCCCCAATTAAACAAAATTACAGTTAAATATGCCACTTATCAGCAATAAGTCCTTTAAATTTCTTGAAAATGAACAACAACAATTTTTAAAAAAAACTAATGGAGCTTATATCCTGAAAGAGGCTTATCGCCCTCCCTCAATCACTGAAGAGAATAACCATTTACCACCTTTTTCCTTCTTAGGCTGCGAGGTTGAGATTCTTGGTGTCAGACCCACTTACTGCCTGGAATACAAAACTTCCCCAACGGATATCAATTTTGCCAACGCAGTCAGCGATGCTCTCGACTCCCTCAAGTAAGTGTCCCGGGTTCTTAGCCGTGCCATTGCTCTTCCCTGTTTTCAGCACCAAAGACAAATGCTAACGTGAATGAAGAAGGCTTGGTGTAGATGGAATGTCTCTAATGTATTGGTATAGATGGGAGGTAGGCCGTGACGTGGTGAGTGCTTGTATCTCAGACGATATCAACAAGTGTGTGACCAAAAGGGAGGATCTGTGGTGAAATAGGTCTGGATAATGGCTCTACCCTCTTCTTGGAAAGGTACAAAGCAATGAGCATAGCAGAGCATAGAACTTTATCTTCTCTCCCTTGAAACCATAACACACAGTTTAGAAAATGCAGTAATTAGCCGGGACTGGTTTGGTTCAGTGGATAGAGCGTCGGCCTGCGGATTGAAAGGTCCCGGGTTCGATTCCGGTCAAGGGCATGTACCTTGGTTGCGGGCACATCCCCAGTAGGGGGTGTGCAAGAGGCAGCTGATCGATGATTCTTTCTCATCGATGTTTCTAACTCTCTATCCCTCTCTCTTCCTCTCTGTGAAAAATCAATAAAATATATTTAAAAAAAAAAAGAAAGAAAAGAAAATGCAGTAACTAGTAATAGCACATGCGAGTCTATCAGGGAATGTGACCAACAAGACAAGTCAGGGCAAAGTCTCAGTCAGCCTCAGAAATCACGATGTGGATGTCAAGATGGATGACCAGGTGGAGTGGTCTCCATGAAAAATTGCCTGCCAAGAGGCTGAGGATATTGGGGCTTTTATGTTTCCAGGGCTGGACATGGGGTCGCCATAGCTACTGAAGGGGCCTCTTGGGCAGGGTCAATGTAAAAGACCCATGTGTTCAGAGGGTGGAGACCATGGAAGTACTTTCATGCAGGGCAGCTCTGGGGAGCCATCACTCCATAGGCACTGGCCACGGGACTGTACCTCAGGTAGCATTGGCCAAGTATGAATCCCATTCTTGCCACCAGCACCGCAGGCATCATGGGGAGTAGCAGTGACCCCTACAGAGTTGACAGGAGCAGACAACTGGCTTGCCTTTGTCTTAGAGTGATTCCACTTCCACGAACGTCTATCAAGAGGGCATTCTGGGCACATAAGGGTTCAGGCTCTGATCTACAGATTAGGGAGAAAATAGGTTTAAAATCCTTAAGGAGAAGGGACAAAGTAAAATTTTAGGGTATTTGTGGGGTTGGGGGGGGGGCATGGAGGCAAGGGACAGGGATTGGAGGAAGTCACCTATATGTCAACATTCTCCACGAGGGTTGTAACTCGAATGTGCCATGGGATCTGCCTCCTGCCTACTCTGCTGTCTTTTCTTGCCCACAAGTGCTGGAAAGCCACCCACATGGCGAATTGGAGTGTTGTGTGGCAGCCTCATTTGTGCAAACAAAGCAGAATGGCATGGCAGGCATAGCAGAGGAGCTGGACCTTTCCATGGGTCTCGGTCTGCATGAGGCTGTTTCCAGCATGCACAAATACTAACACTCCCTACAGCATGCACAAATGCTAGCACTCGCTCCCCACAGCTCACCGCCTTGCCAAATGGGAAAATGTGGAACACAGTTGCCACACAAATACCTTCCAATAATGCAACACTGTTGGGCATAGGATCTTTTTTGCATCCATCTTGTCATGACAGCTGAGTGGTCTCCCACTGTGCACTGCCCAGGGACTCACAGGTAGAGAAGTATGAGTAGCTGAGAATTATGCAACAGTCCACGTTAGTTTCTTTCCAAGGGGACTCAGGAGATGGCAAGACAGGTTGGAAGGAGACTCTAAGAAACACAGACGCAGAAAAGGATGGTGGAGAATTATAGGATACTATCATTGTAAGATGCAGAAATGCTTAATTACGTAGAGCAGTGTTTCCCAAAGTGTGGTACGTGTACCCCCAGGGGTACGGGAAGAGTTTCGTGGGGGTACGCGTTGCACCGGAGCTCGGTGGGGATATGCACTGCAGCGTGTTTAGCTGCGCCTAATTCTACGTTCTCATGAGTACAAGGGGTACTCAGTGTTACGAAAATTATAGAAGGGGTACACATATGTCAAAAGTTTGGGAAACACTGAGTCGTAGAGGATCATCAAACCACAATCTCTATCAGACGAGAGTAATTCCATCCTGCCAGGCTCCTGCAGGTTACCAGCTGCGCTTCTGGCGTCCGGGCGCTAATCCGTAGTTAAGTCTGGGAGCGTAAGCAAGATTACTAGACGCCACCTCGTACCGCACTGCAAGGACAGGGCCTTACGTTTCTGGCCTTCTTTCCAAGTTTTGGATTGCCTTTGTTAAAGTCAGTAATGTCCACCATCCCTTGAAATTGCCTCCCTTTCTCTCTCCCTCATTCTTTCTCTTTCCAACCCTCGTCAGTCAGGAAAATGAATGTGGCATTATAAACTTTTTACATTGAAAGGAAATCTGGACAGAATCCCGAGGTGATGGGGGCCCGGAGTGTCCCTGAAGTCTGGGACGAGGGGCCCCTTACAGCTCTCAGGTAACTGGGCTGATGGCCACATGTCCTGGCTCTGTTCCTAGACCTTTAAGCCATAAATAGCCAATAACAGGCCTGCAGACATTCCCACCCATCGCTCCTCACCCGAGCACTCCGTTACAAATGAGCTGGCCTGTGATAGAGACCAGGCCCAGGTGGGAAACAGCTGGCGACCAAGAATTTGTCAGCTAGACTCCAAGCAGGCGAGAGCTCTCGGCCTGGAAGACGTGAGTCCCTCATGAATCAGGGAGACCCCAGTATGGAAGCTTTCACGCAAGGCACATGCATAAATCCCGGACTCTCAAGCACCCCGAGGCCGGAGCTGCCGGCATCTGGAGTTGACAGCTTCCTGACACGAAGCCATCAGGTACCTCCGAGAGAAACCCTGGCTGTCTGATCACTCGGAGATTTGTGGACATGGCAACTAGGCTAAGAGAGACCAGCCCAGTGGCTGCTGCGGGGAAGCGAGGTGTCTAAGACAAAATGACCTAAAAGCATTTCATTGAACTTGACTGCAATCCTGGCTGGGAACTGTTTCCCACATACAAGCCCCACCCTGGAAGGGTGCACACCGAGACACAGGACACACCGTGCAAGCCGCACAGCCATGTGCTGAGGCTTATCTAAACGGATGACTTTTCTGGACGGCTCCGACCATTCAAACAAAGCACCATCACCCTTCATTGTCATGAACCTGGGCCTCAAAGAAGCTTAGGAATAAGTGAAAATGCAGCAAGAGGTCCACCCGCTGCTGATGCACTTGGAGATCTCAGTGGCTTGTTCTCTGCTGTCTTATATGCCGAGGGAGTGAGGGCTGGCCACTCACACGTGAGTGTGACCAGTGATAATATCATTTGTGGGAAACACCTCAATAACAACCTAACCCAACCCCCGTTGTGTAGGACAGTGGTCTTGGCATTTGTAAAGAAGAGCCAATTTATGTTTGTTCTAGAGAGAAAAGTGGTCCCGGCTGGGTAGCCCAGTTGGTTAGAGCATCGTCCCAATGTGCTAAGTTTGGGGGTTAGATCCTTGGTCAGGGCACATATAAGACAACCAATAAATGTATAAATGAATGGATGAACAAATCGATGTTTCTCTCAAAAATCAACAAAATTTTTTAAAAAAATATATTTTATTGATTTTTTACAGAGAGAAAGAGAGAGGGATAGAGAGTTAGAAACATTGATGAGAGAGAATCATCGATCAGCTGCCTCTTGCACACCCCCTACTGGGGATATGCCCGCAACCAAGGTACATGCCCTTGACCGGAATCGAACCCGGGACCTTTATAGTCCACAGACCGACGCTCTATCCATTGAGGTAAACCGGTTTCAGCATAAAATCAACAAAATTTTTGACAAAATAAAAATAAAAAGAGAGTGGGGTAAAAAGAAACCAAAAAACAGTTCTCTTACCTTGAAAGCAAAACTGTGACGCCCACCTCAGGGCTGGCAGTAGAGCAACAACACAGGGTCATTAAGCAGTCCGACCACAAGAAAGAGGTGGTGGGGAGGGCCATTCACTTGTGTGCATCAAAGCCAAACCAAATGGGAACAGACGTTAGCAGCCAGGAAAGAAGGGTTTACCAGGTGAGGAATTGGTGCCAGCCCAGAGTCACAGGGAGCTGGTGCCCAGAGCCTGGCTCCCGATAGCGTCCGGGGAGGGCTGTGTGGAAGGGAAGTCATTCCTCGCGGTGACGAAAGGAGTTGGGTGGTGGGCTCTCTGACTGGCTGGGCCAGGGCAGTTGATCACTGCCTCAGGCTCCGACGTCAGCACGGCGTGGCTCTGTCTGGTTTCGTGGGGTGGTCCCTAGGGTCTTTCTGCTCTCATGGGCCAGGGTGACACAGCTGAAGTCCAGATGCCACCTGTAGCTTGGCCGGAACACTGTTTGTGTGGCCAGCAGGCCTGAGGCTTTGCCCTCAGACAATGTGATGCTGCCCAGAAGCCGATGCTGAAGGGCTGGATGAGGAAGAAAGGGAAGGAGGGAGAGTCACGGCAGAGAAATTGTATCGCACTTGCCTTGGCTGGCCTGGCACCAGTGGATGTCATAGCATGGTCGTCTGACAGGTCGTCCAGAAGGTCGTTCGGCTGTCCGGTCTAATTAGCATATTATGCTTTTATAATTATAGATGAGAACCATTGTCTCAAGATCAGTTGGGTTAAGCAGAATGTGCTGTGGGCTGTTGAGGTTTTTCAGAGTTTTCAGTGATTGTGTTCAGGGTGACGGAGTCAGTCCCGCCTGGGTTTGAGTCCCGTACACCTCTCACCAGCTGTGTGTTGCTGGCAACTGTATTGAACTCTCTGTTCAATACATACATACCTTATAGGGTTGTTGTGAGGATTACTCAAGATAATATCTGTAAAAGCCCTCAACATATCACCTGACCCAGAGAAACTATCATTCACAGAGCACTTACTATTATTATACATCCAACCGACAGTTTTATTTTTATTTCATATATATATATATATATATATATATATATATTTATTGATTGATTTTTTACAGAGAGGAAGGGAGAGAGATAGAAATCTAGAAACGTCGATGAGAGAGAAACACTGACCAGCTGCCTCTTGCACACCCCCTACCGGGGATGCGCCCGCAACCAATGTACATGCCTTTGACCGGAATCGAACCCGGGACCCTTCAGTCCGCAGACCAACGCTCTACCACTGAGCCAAACCGGTTTTGGCGGGACCCCCTTATTTAAAGGGCTGCTTCTCTTTTTTCTGGCCCCCGATGCCAGCAGGGGCAGAGCTATCAGAGCATCCCTGCCTGTACCTACGCCTTCCACCTTGGGCCATGACGGGCAATGCCACAGCAGCCAGAGACGAGTGGCCCATGCATGTGTCCTCTGACCCTTGTCACCAAGGTGCTCAGGACTGGCGTGTCTTGGTGCTGAATTCCTGCCTCTCCCTGCAGATCCCATCCTGTTCATTTTCAACACGGATTCTGCACCCTTTCGTTTAGTTCTTATGTTCGGTATTATTCTGTACCTGTTTCAGAGCACAGCATGGTGGTTAGACCATCGTGTCCTTTAGAGAGTGTCCCCCCGCCCCCATATTCCAAGGACCCCCATGTCCACATCACCCTGTCATTTAGGGCTGTAGGCCTTCTCCCCTCAGGGAGGGTTTGGGGGCGCTGATGCCACCAGGGCCTGGGAGCGGGCTGAGAGTGGAGTCGTGGGGCCTCTCGGCGCTGACTCTCCCCCTGCTGCCCCCAGGAGTGGCCGCGCCGACCTGGCCGCCGTCTACCACGAGCGCATCGACGTGGAGGGCCACCACTACGGGCCCTCGTCGCCGCAGACGAAAGACGCCCTGAAGGCAGTGGACACCGTGTTCAAGTACATGGCCAAGTGGATCCAGGTGACCAGACCGAGAGCAGGGCCCCCGCTGCCTCCCTCCTGTCACTCCATCTGTTCCCTGGAGGGTCATGCCCCTCAGCATCCTCTCCTGCTGTGGAAGCTGACAGGCCAGCCCCAGGCCGTGCTGGTCTCCCTTCCTCACTCACCCCTCCTCTGGGACCAAGAGACCCCTTGTTTGACAGCCAGGGCCTGGGGACGGGAAGAGACATAGATGGCATCGTCAGCCAGCCCCGCTGGCCAGATGGCCCGGTTCTGCACCGAAGTCAGTGCCTGGGAGCCAGGCCGGGCTCTGTCCCTCGTGTGCCACGGCCTGGCTGAGTGACTTGAGGCAAGGCGTTGTGCACGTGTGTGAAATGGGAGGGACAGTTCTAGTACCGTGCGAGTTGGTTGAAAGAGCCAAAGATGACAACAGTGAGGGCACTGTGCCGGATGAAAGGCCCGGATGTGTCACTGGAGCGGGATCAGTGCCCACCCCCTCCCCAGAGTGCTTCTGCTGAGTGTGAGCTCATCTTCAGGAGGGGAGCAGACGACTGAATTCAGACTTGGTCATGTGTCCTTTCTTCTACAAAGTGTAGCTTAAAACACCTCCCCTTCTCCTACACATCCTCTTTCCCCTCCCACTCCCCTTTCTTCCCTTACCTCTTCCTCTCCCCCTTCTCACTCCCCTTTCTCCCCCTCCTCCTTCCTCTCCCTCTCTCTTTCCCTGCTGTGATGACCGCCTTTGTTCACCCACAGGAGCGGGACCTGCAGGACAACCTCAATGTCATCATCTTCTCCGACCATGGGATGACGGACATCTTCTGGGAGGACAAAGTGATTGAGCTGAAGCAGCACATCAGCCTGGGGGACCTGCAGCAAGTGAAGGACCGAGGGCCCCTTGTGAGCCTCTGGCCTGCCCCCGGGAAGCACGCGGAGGCAAGCGGCACACGGCGGGGAAGGGAGGCGGACGCGGGAGGGGAGGGAATGGGGCCCGGCCACCACTCTGCACTTGATCTTTGTCCTGCCACAGCTGGTGATCTCCATCACCGTCTCAGCCTCCCCTGCCTCCGTTTTCCCTTCTCTAAAATGGGCATGCTGGGACCTGCCGCACTGACCGTTAGTGGCCACTGAAGGAGAGAAAGCGTGGACAGTGCTTCGCAGGCTCAGTGCTGAGCCCTTCCCAGGCCTGTGGCTGACCCTGTAGCACCTGTCGGGCAGTATCGAACACACATGCTCTTTCTCGGGAGCAGCCCCGTCTGACTGTCCACCAGTCAGACAAGCAGGTGGATGCGCCACTGAGGCCGTGTGGGCTGTGGTCAGCTTTGGCTCAGGACCCACTCTGCTGGGGTCCCATCCCGCTCCCCATAACCCTCATCTTCCTACCCAAGCCCCCCTGTCCACGTAGCCCAGCTTCTGTCGGGACCGCGGGAAAACACAGGTGTGCGCTGGCCCTGCACGGACGATGCACGTGTCACTATGATCATCACCTTCAAAGGCCGGTGCTCCCAAGGGGTGTGGCGGAGTCCCACAAGTGCAGATGTGGCATCTCGCTCGCTCCCCCCCATCTCTGCCCTCCGGGGACCCAGCACCCTGAGATCACAGGCCTCTACCCACCCTTCTCCCCAAACACCAAGTACATCTGGAGAACTGGGTGCTGCGTCACCCGAGGAAAGGAGGAGGAGCAGGTGGTACCGTTGGGTGACCACTCAGCCCACCCAATGGTTGCCTTCCAGTGTAGGCTTTGGGGCTCCTGCCATCTCCCAGAGAAACTGCTCTGGGCCAGGACAGGTGGGTGCCGGCTGTGGAGGAGGCAGCCGTGGGGTGCCAGGAGTAGGCCTTGGGGGGTCTGATGGCTCCCCCTTGCTCACAGCTGCAAAACACTGGCCCACAGATGCTGGGAGGTTGCTGGTGTAGATGGAGCGCAGGTGTAGACTTTGGCCAAAATTTCTCTTTGGCTCAGAGAAACTCCTCTTTTTATTTTATCCCACCCAACCCATCGAGAGCCTGAGAGCTGTCCGTGTAGGGCTGAGGGACCCAGTGGCCCACAGCCCCCCCCCCTCTAACTCTGCCCCCTCCCCCAGCAGACATCCCTCCTTCTCAGGAAGGGAAGGCGTGTTTGCCCTATGTCCCATGAGCTCCCTCCACACGAAGTGGGATGACGGTCTCACACACGGGCAGGAGCCACCGTCACCGCTGCTCTCGGTGACGGTCTGTTTCCTTGGCAGGCAGGCTCACCACACCCCCAATTTGGCACCTAGGAGGGCACTGTTTCTGGGATGCCTAGGCGGCGGCAGCTTGCGAGCTGGGAATCGCTCCTCCCAACCAGGCGGCTGCCAGCTGCCTAGAGCAGTTGGTAGATCATCCACACGTGGGGGCCGTGTTTGGGTGACAGTCTGTCACGTGATGGACACAACCATGGGTGAGACCGCCATGTGTCCTCGGACGTTCCCTCCTCCAAAAGCTTGCGGCACAGGCACCCCATTTCTCCAAAGTACGGACTTGCGTAAGGAGGAAGTCACAACGCAGGGGCCCATCGGAAACTCTGCCAAACAGCCCGAGGGCTAATTAATTTCAGAATCCAGTGGATAAACTCCAATTTGCAGTCGGCTCCTTGGCGTCAGCCAGTGGGTTTTCATTTTGGCCAGAAACATGTAAGCTGCTGCTAGATATGGGAGGTGTGTGCCGAGTTTACATGTCATCAGGAAACCAGCAGTGTAATCAGTGGCAAACTACTGGTACTTTTAAGATTGGAGCCGAGGGAGGGCAATGGTATATGTACAAAGATAATAATTTAATAATAATAATAAAAAAAAATGATTGGAGCCGAAACCAGTTTGGCTCAGTGGATAGAGCGTCGGCCTGTGGATTGAAGGGTCCCAGGTTTGATTCCAGTCAAGGGCATTTATCTTGGTTGCAGGCATATCCCCAGTAGAGAGTGTGCAAGAGGCAGCTGATCGTGATTCTCTCTCATCAATGTTTCTAACTCTCTATCCCTCTCTTTTCCTCTCTGTAAAAAAAACCAATAAAATATATTATATATAAAAAAAAAGATTGGAGTGTAGGTAGGACATGCTCTAGGTCAGAGAACAAACCCTCTTTCTTTGGTCATGGTGGTATCCGATTTCTCATTCTCTCTTTAATTTTATTTTAGCATTTTTGACATACATAAGCTTTTGAAATTTGTTCATTTGTTATTAGATACCAAAAATTACTATAAAATGTGTGTAAGGTGTAAAGGATAATATTACGATGGCACCTTACACTGAGTGGCCAGATTATGATGATCTCTGAATGCATAATAATCTGGCTACTCAGTGTATATGCTATAAGATAAAAGGCTAATATGCAAATTGTCCCCTCAACCAGGAGTTCGACCAGCAGGCAGGCCAGCCAACTGCCTATGTCCTCTCCCTTGGCCAGGCTGGCTAGACCCCACTGATGCACGAGTTCATGCACTGGGCCTCTAATATAAACTGAGTGGCCAAATTAGTATACGTTCAGAGATCATAATAATCTGGCCATTCAGTGTATATTCAATATACTGAGAAATCGCACAATAGCGTTACCTGTAGGAACACCTGTATGCCCTTCTCAGACGCTGTCACCTGTGCAGCCTCCTCAGAGAAAGCCACTGTCCTACATTTCGAGTGATCACTTCCCTAATTCTCTTTATAGTTTTACCAAATATGGTCATTAGTTTTTGCAGTTATTTGAACCTTCTAAAATAAGAAAACTCTTGTCTGTATTCTTCTGCAACTTGCTTGTGTGTGTCTGTGTGTGTGTGTGTCTCAAACTGAAATTCAGGTGTTCTGTGTCGCTATAATCCATTTTCTCTTCATTGCTGTATAATTTTCCACTGCCATTATCGCCTCGACCCAGGTATCCCTTCCACTGTCGCTAGGCTTTGGGGCTGCTCTAGTCTGCAGTACATGTCCCTCTACAGACACACAGGTGCACATGCACTGGGGCTCTCACAATGCCCCTAAGGGAACCCCTTGTTTTCTGAGGCATGTAAGAGTTCCTCTTTTTTTTTTTACATAGCCACGTCTATCAGCTGTGTGAGTAATTCCTTCTTTCTTTTTAGTCTTATCAAGTCCGCCCTCTCCTCCAGGTGCATTCAGTATTCACATTCATGTGACAAAGAGAATGCAACCCCAGTCACCCTGCCTTTCTTTGCAGATTTACAACAGGCTGCGGACCGTGGAGCACATGACTGTCTACGAGAAGGAAGCCATCCCGAGCAGGTTCCACTATAAGAAAGGGAAGTTCGTCTCTCCCCTGACCTTACTGGCCGATGAAGGGTGGTTCATAACGGAGGTAATTATAAAACAGGCCGCCATTTACGCATTAGGCCTCTGGTCAGCAAACTGTGGCTCTTTGGCCCCTTGAGTGTGGCTCTTCCACAAAGTACCACGGCCTGCGCGAGTCTGTTTGGAAGAAGTGGCGTGAGAAGAAGTTTACGTTTAAAAAAATGTGGCTCTCCGAAGAAATGTCAATCGTTGTACGTTGATGTTTGGCTCTGTTGACTAATGAGTTTGCCGACCGCTGCCTTAGACGAGTTCTCCCAAACAACCAGAGGTACCAGGTAGCTCTTCAGCCTTCCCAGGGAAGAGATTTTGTTTCCACTCAGATGTAGCTCATTACATGATTTCCTTCTTTAGGGAATCAAGAGGCTTGGTCAGGTGACTTCTATTTACTTATTTGTTTTTGTTAGTCCTCACCTGAGGGTATTTTTCCTATTGACTTAGACTCAGTGTGTCCCAAACTTCTCTCATGATGAGAATCACCTGGTGGAGTTGTTAAACCACAGATTCCTGAATCCCAACTAAGAAGTGCTAACCTAGAATTTTTGGGAACATACAGGTAAAATTGTATATTTAACTAGTGTTCTAAGACGATCTGGGAGAGGCCTGTGGCACACACGTCTAAGTGCTCTCCCGAGAGGCCCGGTCTGTGAGGCTCCTTGGGCCCTGCGGGGCCTCACTGACGGGGCCTCTCGGGAGAGCCCTTAAATTGCGGTGCCAGACTCTGAGCGGCAGGGGTCTGTAAGGAAACCTCACCCCCAAGCCCATCACACACCCAGGCCAGCACTCACCTTGTATTTATTTTTTTTTAAAATTATATTTTATTGATTTTCCACAGAGAAGAAGGGAGGGGGATAGAGAGATAGAAACATCGATGAGAGAGAAACATCGATCAGCTGCCTCTTGCACACCCCCTACTGGGGATGTGCCTACAACCAAGGTACATGCCCTTGACCGGAATCGAACCCAGGACCCTTCAGTCCGCAGGCTGACGCTCTACCCACCATTACTTTTTGCAAGAGCTTCCCGTGTGGCCTCTGCGTTCCCAATGGCTACACACACACACACACACACACACACACACACACACACACACGTCCTACCCCATCTCACCTTGGGCCAAATCTGGAGAGTCTGGGCACCTCCCTAGGAAGTCTCCAGGTGGGGTCAGGCTCCTCAACTGGCAGCTGGAGGATGGGCAGCCCGGGGGCTCGCCCTCCGGGGCAGGTTTATGCCTCGTCAGTGCTGCCCCCGAGTGAGCACCGGGAGGGGAACGTAGGAGCCGTGTGCCGGTGGGGAAAGCCGCTCGGTGGGAAAGGAGGAGCAACAATCATTCACCCAGTGCCCCACACGGAGCATATCCCATCCAGTCACTCACCAAAAATGGCCAGCTTCTCGCACGAGCAGCCGGGTCACCGCTGCTTTTGAAAATCTGAGGACAGTGGTCCCTGGAGCAGGTTGTCCCTGTCTGGAAACTCGTGGGTCACCCTGTGAGCACAGATTTTCATGGTGGTGTGTCTGTATTTGTGGAATTTTCACTGGAGTTCTTAAATCAGGTCATTGGTCTCCATCTCCCCTCCCCCTGTGCCTCTGTCTCGGGGTTCTTGTGTCCGGTGGGGCTCATAATTAGGGAAGTCGCCAGCAACTCAGTGTCCTGCCTGGCATCCAGGCGTCTGCCTGACTGTGACAAAGCTAACCTGGGACGCGTCCTGATGCCCAGCTCAGGATCAGACAGACAAGGAACAGAAACGGTCTAGCAACTCAGAAATGCAACATGCGAACGAAAGCGTGCCCGTGGGAAAACACGAGCTGCAGCTGGAGGAGGAGGAGGGACGAGGGTGACGGAGACTCGGGAAACGGAGCGGCAGTGACAGAGTGCCATTTGGCAAGCAGTCACGCTGGGGGCGATGGATGGATGGGCTGAGAGGGGATGGTGTGCGATGCGATCTGACAGCTAAATACGCAGAGGCGAGTTCAGGCCTCACCGCCGCCCCTGCCCAGCCATCATGCCAGAGCGCCTTGCCCCACAGCCCGGGCATCTGGGACTGGCTGCAGCCATTCGGCAAGCACCTCCTGTGTGTCAGGCCCTGAGCACACAGTCAGGTCATCCTCCAACCCTCCTGAGGCAGGTGTGATGGCTCCGCAGGGAACCTGAGCCTCAGGTGGATCACGGGCTGGGAAGTGGCAAGGTGAGACTTAACCTACGCCCATCCCGTTCCAAAGTCTCTCTCTCTCTCTCTCTCTCTCTCTCTCTCTCTCTCTCTCTCTCTCTCTCTCCCTCTCCTTTATAACTGGTCACCACTTCGGGCAGTGAGGAGGCAGGGACAGGAAGGGCCTCACTTGCGGGCCCGCAGGAGCGCTGGGGACCTCTGGCTGTGGTCAGTGTAAGGACGGGAGATGGTGCCTGGGTTTCGGTCCCAGGCCCGCCTCTCGGCAGCATTAAGAGCAGCGGTTCACCCGGGTGTGCCTTGGTTTCTTCAGCTCTAAGCAGGGACAAACCGCCTGTGCTGGGATGCTGTGGTGACTTGGTGAAGGGCGGTGTCGGCTCTCGGTGCACCGCACGGCATGCTGACTACGTGGGGCTCTTGCTGTCCGGCGAGCCGGCCTGTGCGCTGCTGGTAGCTAGTGATTCTAAACTGACGATGGCCCTAGCAAGCTTGGCTCAGGGAATGGAGCATCGGCCCTGCAGATGGAAGGGTCCCGGGTTCTATTCTCGTCAAGGGCATGGACCTTGGTTGCAGGCTGGATCCCGGCCCTGGTCGGGGCTCCTGTGGGAGGCAGTCAATCGATGTACCTGTCTCTGTGTTTCTTCAGCTCCCTTCCACTCTCTCTAAAAATCAATGAAAAAACAACCCTGGGAGAGGATAAAAAAATAAAATAAAAAATAAAATAAAGCCAAAACCAGTGTGGCTCAGTGGATAGAGCATTGGCCTGCGGACTGAAAGGTCTCAGGTTCGATTCCGGTCAAGGGCATATACTTGGTTGTGGGCACATCCCCAGTACGGGGTGTGCAGGAGGCAGCTGGTCGATGTTTCTCTCTCATCCATGTTTCTAGCTCTCTGTCCCTCTCCCTTCCTCTCTGTAAAAAATCAATAAAATATATTTTAAAAAATACTTAAAAAGTAAAATAAAATAAAATAAAATAAAACCCCCCGAGACATCTGATTACGAGGTGCAGGATGTAGTTCAGTTCTGAAGAAGAGACCGCCTGCATGCCCAGAGCTGCCTGGCAACATGCAGGCCGCCTCCCAGGGACAGAGCTCCGGAGTGGAAGTGATCGGAGGGGTGACCCGATGCCCAGAAGGAAGTGCCCGCTGCCGCTGGGTGGTGGTCGGGCCAGGTGCTCCCGGGCCGTGGGGCTGGGACCCGGGAAAGTAACCGCCTTGTTGGTTTCAGAGTCGAGAGCAGCTTCCGTTCTGGATGAACAGCACCGGCAAGCGGGAAGGCTGGCAGCGCGGGTGGCACGGCTACGACAACGAGCTCATGGACATGCGGGGCATCTTCCTGGCCTTCGGACCCGGTAGGCGGGGGAGCGACGTGGTTCTGTCCGTCACCCGTTCCCCAGGCTGTGCCCCGGGGGCTCCGGGCGGAGGGGAGGCCGGCCTGATTGCTTTATGAGCCACGCTGAGCAGACCCAGCCGGTCTCCGGGAGACAGCCCTCGCTGGCTGGCTTTCAAATGCTTCTTGGGTTTGGCAAATGTGGCCGAATAGTTTTCCTTGTAAATTTTAAACCCTGAGTGCAGTGCGGAAAATGTGTTCCACATGTTTGCGATTCATTTTTCATTTAATTCATCAGAATGTGAGTTCACAGCCATCCGATGTCCAGGAACGCTTACCGGACGCCGGCGTGCTGACAGCTACGAATTTCAGCACTGGTGTGGCTGCTCCCCGGCCAGGCTCCCCACACCCCTCCTTGTCGAGAGCGCCCAGCCCTGAGTGGGGGGCATTCGGTTTAGGGCAACCAGAAGCTGGCTTGCGCTCCAGGGGAGGCTGGGAAATGACCCGGAGGCCGATTTCCTCAACCAGATAATTCTGGAGCGGGCAGAGAGCAGGGGTGAAGAGGGCCTATTTGGTCATGTGCTTTCACTTTGTAGAGCACCGAAAATTCACATTTTGCAAAAGGTTATCAAACACTCTGAGGATCATACTACTACCTGAAACCCCTTTTCTTTAAAAACAAACAATTAGGTTAGCTCTAGCTGGTCTGGCTCAGTGGAGAGGGCATCAGTCTGTGGACTGAAGGGTACCTGGTTGGATTCTGGTTGAGGGCATGTACCATGATGCAAGCTCCTGCCCCCAGCCGGGCCCTGCCGTGCAGGAGGCAACCAATCCATGTGTTTCTCTCACATTGATGTTTCTCTGTCTTTCCCTCTCCCACTTTCTAAAAATTAATGGAAAAATATCCTCAGGGGAGGATTAAAAAAATAAAATAAAATAATAATAATAATAATAATAATTAGGGTAAAGAGCATTCAACAGCCATCACCAGTCAGCTGACTGGCTCATGAGCTACATCCCTGCTACTGTCCACCCTCCCAGTTAAAGAGACCGAGACAACCCTGATACTCACGTTCCAAATGCCCCTTTCTGGATGCTGAAAAGAAGGCTTCCATCCATGAAAGCCACGCTTTCCTTACAAAGTATAAGCTAGAGACCACTCTGGGGAGCCGAGCTCCTCTTCCTGATACAGCCAGCAAAGGCACGTACCGACCCCCTGCTGGGCCCACTCTCCCCACCCAGACACAGCTGCTGAGTGCCCGAGGTGTCTGTGTCCGCTCCCTCCGTGAGGCCTCTGGCAGCCTGAGCTCAGCGAACTCATGGGTCCAAATCCTTCCCCATACCCAGTGCCGAAGGAAGAATCACAAACAGGAGCAGCAAACCTCTTAGAGCCCTGACCGGGTCAGGACCTGGGCCTGGGCCTGGGGTTGGGGCAGAGCAGGGGGGAGGGAGGCCGTGCAGCGGGTGTCCAGCATGTTGCCATGAACCAGTAATAGCTCTCAGGTGCTCCCCGGCAGCCCGGACCCTGCCAGACCCATGCAGCTCAGAGCTGAGGGAATGAGTGATGAGACCCCGAGGACTCCGTGGAGGTCAACTGCTAGGTTAGGCTGGAGACACTCCAGGGCCGCAGCCTCGATCCGGGAGAGCACCAGACGGCCGGGCTTCCGTTCAAAACCATCACCTCTCCCTTCCCCAGAGAGAAAAAAAAGATCATGAATGCAAAACAGTTGTCCGTTGAAGGAGTGTTTATGAGCGAGGCCCGGGCTGTATCTTAAAGCAGAAGCCAACCAGAAACGTTAAACAAAATACCCAGAGCTGCCTTAGCTTCGGTGGGGGAGATTCTGTCCATGAGCACAGGCCTCCCTCCCGGGCTCCTTGCCTACTAAAAGCCCGTGTCTCTTAGAGACCGAAAGACGACCCCTGATGCAAACCGCCTGGGCTCCCTGCAGACACGTTCCCGGGCAGAGAGGGCCGGGGAGCCCGTGCCAGCCGTCCCGTCTCCGGCTCCCGTGAGAGATGGAACCGCTTTACACACCGCTGTTCACTCAGAAGACAGTTTAAGAGCAAGGCCATTCCTGGCTTTCTAGCTGCACACGCAGATGAAGGCCCAGTCCTCCTGGTTAATTGTCAGCGCCTCTCGCTCAGGGAGGAGGCCCGGCATCCTGGCGGCTGCCCACGTGCGTTTAGGAAGTCAGGGAGTCTGGCCCAGGCTGACCTTGAGCGTAAACCGTGCTCCTTGCCTGGCGGGGATTTCTCTCTCTCTCTCTCTCTCTCTCTCTCTCTCTCTCTCTCTCTCTCTCTCTCTCTCTCAATATATTTTATTGATTTTTTTTTTTTTTCACAGAGAGGAAGAGAGAGGGATAGAAAGTTAGAAACATCGATGAGAGAGAAACATCGAACAGCTGCCTCCTGCACACCCCCTACTGGGGATGTGCCCACAACCATAGCACATGCCCTTGACCGGAATCAAACCTGGGACCCTTGAGTCCGCAGGCCAACGCTCTATCCACTGAGCCAATCCAGCCAGGGCGGATTTGTCTCTTAAAGGAACTCCAGGAGCCATAGAAAGCTACTTCCTCTCACAGCCTGTGGCCTTCTGCATCTGCCACACCCCCCTGACAGAGCTGGTTGTGCAACCCCAAAACCCAGGGAGCCTGAGCGTGATTCCTCCACCCTGGGTCTCGCCCCTCCCTGCCCGGTCACGGGTGGGGGTCACGGGCGGAGGTCACGGACGGAGGTCACGAATGGTGATGACTTGCTTGCCGGCCTTTGTCTTTCAGATTTCAAATCCAACTTCCGAGCCGCCCCGATCCGCTCCGTGGACGTCTACAACCTCATGTGCCGCGCGGCCGGCATCACCCCGCTGCCCAACAACGGGTCCTGGTCCCGCGTGATGTGCATGCTGAAGGGCCCGGCCAGCTCGGCACTGCGGCCTCTGCCCGCTGGCCTGGCCCTGGCCTCCACTCTGCTCTTGCTCCTTCAGTAGCTGCTCCTCCGTGTCCCAAACACTCGCCAAGGGGGCCTTCACAGGGAACGGTTTTATGTCCTATTTGAGTAATAGCTTCTTTAACGCAATCAAGGCCACACACACTGCCAATATTTTATTCTTGGATGATTCTATACATTAAAAAAAATCCCTACTTCTTAAAAAACAAATATCTGAACTGAAGATAAGGAAAATCTTGCTCTTAATCTGTTCAGCTGTATATCAGCTTGTCCTTATTTTTTTTCATTTGGAAATTCAGATGAACTGTCTGAGCAAGGGCCTGTCCCTAGCAAGCAGCCTTTGAGAGATTATTGTGTGAGGGTCTGGGACCCCGCTCCGTCCCGCTGTGCACAGAACAGCCCCTCGCCTGTGCCCTGTGCACACCCAGGAGCCCTCCACGGCCCCACGTCCTGGACTGCGCCCTCCTTCCCAGAGAGAGGAGGTTCCCCGTGACAGCCGTGGATGCCATCTGTTCCTGTCCCAGCTCCTAGATCTTCTACAAAGACCCACAAAGGGTGTTATCTTAGCGTGGACCACCCGTCAATCAAAATCCCGAAGGATTGGAGAACTCAGAATAAGGCGGCAGGCATGACTGCCCTCCCAGATGCACAAAAATGTCCACCTCGCCTTGAGGAGCAGAAAAGGCTTAGCATAGATCAGGGCTCCCCTGTGACTTCTCACGAGGTATCCAGGCCTAAAGCCTCGCTTGTAGCAGCCCCTGCATGCTGTGGGTGGGCTAATGGATTGCCTGCTGCCTGCCAGTGTGAAGGCCTTCTCAGAGACTACATTCTTTGGGTCACCACACACAACATGGACTATAGCAACGCCCGATGCACATTACAGCTGAGAAAGGTTCTGGCTGGTGAGCGAGGGGACACATCTGCAGAAATCTCAGGTCATTGCTTGGAATAGTGACGCATTAAGCACAAGTTTGGTGTCCTGGAGCTTTGCTTGTTAAACAACAGTAGCAAAGTGGATCCCTGTGTGACCACAAATTCCAAGGAAAACCAGGGTGGGGTGAGGGCAGAGAACCTGATGGAGTCAAATCCCCATCGCTGACCAACAAGCCATGGCTGGAATGTTTTCAGTTCGTCTTCAAGTTGGGCACAGGGGATCTTGCACAGACAAGGGATAACTGAATGTTTAAGTGATCCGACTCATGGACACACATCACTGCCTTAAAATGACTTTGCAGGAAGCGAGGCGGATCCGCCAGTGAGACTTCTGTATCAGGAAAACAACTCCGGTCTCCTCGGGAGGATGAGCCCTTCCAGGGTGGTGACCTTGAAAAGCGGATATCGGCGCTCATCCTGACTCCCGAAGAGAAGCCAGCCGCCTCTGTGCCTTGAATCATGGGAGCGAAGGGTCCCTGCTTCAAAACGTCCGCTTCCTCTCCACACAAGCTTCCTAAGGGCTCATGTAAGATGATTTTAGAACGCAGCATCGGATCCGAGGGACAGAAGGCAAACCAGCCTCTGTCTGGTTAGAAGCAAATCAGTGCTCTCAGCGCTGGCAGCGGACGTGAAGCGCTCACCCATCGTCCCAGCTTCCTCTGTCCTTAAAGGGTAGAGCTCCGATGAACACCACCCCACCCGCCTTCCTGTGAAGCAAGATCCTGCAAAGAGACACAAGCAGTTTGGTTAAAAGTGGATCATGGAATGAAGAGGGGTCTCAACATGTATGCTGTCCTGCATTTGTCTTTCCTGCTCTGTTCTACCCACACTTCCACCACTACTACCACCACCACCACCACCACCACCACCACACACTCACACACACACACACACACACACACTCACATACACAAACACACCACACACACCACACACACTCACACACCACACACACTCACACACACACACACTCACACACACACACTCACACACACACACACACACACTTACACACACACACACACTCACAGACACACACACACACACCACTCACACACACACACACACTCACACACACACACACTCTCACATACACAAACACACACACACACTCACATCACACACACTCACACACACTCACACACACTCACACCACACACACACCACACACACACTCACACACACACACACACTCACATACACAAACACACCACACACACTCACCACACACACACACACACACTCACATCACACACACTCATACCACACACACACCACACATACATACCACACACACACTCACACACTCACAGACACATACACATACTCACACACACATACCCACACTCACACCACACACACTCACACACACACACACACACACACACACACACACACACACCATACACACTCACACCACACATACACACACACACACACACACACACACACACACTCATGCCTAAAACCTTCAAGTTACATAATCAAATTTCAGATAGTGGTCTGACGAAGTTACTCAATAAATGCTCTCAAAGCAATAAATGAGAATAAAGAACTTTTGGAATGATGACTATTGGTAACTAACTAAGAAAATCCAGCCCCTAAAGGGAAAAAACACTTTGTGCCTTAAAGAATACATGCATTTTAGTGGCTGGATCCTTTGGCTAAAGTTCTCTCCCCAACCCCTTTGATTTTTGGTTTTAAAGGTGCCTTCTTTCCCCCAGGAAAATTTTGCTTTCTCTAAATGGTTTGGTTTCACAGAAGTAACATCTGTGAAGAATACATGGAGACAACCTTTTCTGGATTATTTTATCACTTCGTGGCTAATTCCAGGAGGCTGATAATGACCATTGGATCGACCTGCCAATAACAAAGATAAAGGGAAGATCCTTACATCGAAGAGGTGAACGGCCACTTTCCCCTGTTTCTATGCATACTCTCCAGAACCCAATCCATTTACGTCCTGAAGATGTAAGCTTATGGTAGAACAGGTCCTGAGAATTCTTTCTCACCTAGACAAGTTCTGAGTGATAACTTCCAGCTCCCTTTCCTCTTAAAGTGACCCTGGGAATCCCTGCCAGATCTGAGTTCAGACCCAGACCCCAGTTTGCATCCCCTAACCCACCTTCAGGCTGGCAGGACCTGGGTGGTCCCCACGCGACGCTGACATCTCACTGATGGAAGGTTTGGGTTTGCTCTAAGGAGAAATGGTGCCGAAAGGACCCTGGTAGACCCGAGTCTCCCGACAGTCATTTCATAGCCCAGCAGTTTCTCCTGGGGCCTCCAGCCCCCCTTAAACCAAAGCTGATGGGTTCACCCCGGTGATGGAGAGAGGAGCCAAAGAGGCATCGCAGGCTTCCCCACACCCGCTCCTCCCTGGGTCCGTGATTCCCAGCGGTGCTATCAGACAAACTCTTGTTCAAGACACAACTCTTTTATGGATTTTCTAAGTGGTTTGCATTTCTGTAAATATCAAGGGATTTCCAAACACGATCACAAGTTTACTCTTTTTAAGCAACTCGTGACAGACCAAAGTCAGCACGTATATACCACTGGCAGTAGGAAGGGAGGGTGTGCGTGGTCGTGGCAGACTGGTTATAAACATGGGAAACCTGGCCTCAGGTACGTGCTATGAAAATACACTTCTGTGTTGCTTTGAAATCATAAAATCGCACTGAGTGCAAGTGCCTCAAATGTTTAATAAATGTCCCATAAATGTGTGTTGAATGAGAAAAAGAATAAATGTCATTAAAACAATTTGCTTACACCTCAGATATTCTCTGTCTTGAGTACCTCAAGTTAAATAAGCTTTGCACTTTTGGCTTGCTTCCTTATCCACCGGTCATTATACTTCATTCCATAAACCAGACATATTCCATCCTATCCTTATACATTTGACAGAAAGAAGGAAGGGAAAGAGAATGGAAGGAAAGAAAGAAGGGGAGGGAAATGAAGGGAAAAAAGGAAGAAAATTAGGTTTTAAATATACTGAGCATATTTACTTTAAAAAATGTGACAGCTTTATCAAGATTTAATTCACGTGCCATAAAAGACCCTGTTAGCAAGTGCGTAGAATTCTGCAGCCATCGCCACAATCCGTTTCAGAGCCTTTTCATCAGCCCTCAACACCATGTCCATTAGCTGTCACTCCCATGTCCTCCCACCACCACCCTATGTTCTACAGATTTGCTTCTTCGGGATATCTCATAAAAAAATGGAACCATGCAATCTGGTCTTTTGTGGCTGGTGTCTTTCACACATCATAATGTCTTCAAGGTTTTAGCATAAATCAGTGTTATTTATTTCCAAAACTAGGGGCCCAGTGCACAGATTTGTGCCCCTTGAAAGGAACTGTGGGCCACAAGGCTGCAGTGGGTACAGGGCCAGGTCTCAGCCCATCCTCCATGCCTCCATCTGACCCCTCCTGCCATAGCCTCTGGTCCCCTGTCTGCTGGAAGCCCCGTTCCCATTGCTACCATTCCCACACACTGACAGTGCCAGCTCTACTCGGACTGCTGGCACTGGCCCCAATCCCTCCACGCCATCAGCAGGAGCCAGTGGAGTCAGTGGGTGCAAATGGTATAGCTGCTGCCCTGATTGCCCCTCAGGAGCAGGGGAAAGTGAAGAAGCCCTCAGGGACGATTGGGGCCAGCAGCTGCCACTCGTACCCACTAACAGTTCCGAGTAATTGGGACCAGTGCCAGGCACTGGCAGCAGGTACGAGTGGCAGCTCCAACGCCAGCTGTGGGTTCGAGCAGTGCCGGCACTGGCACGATGGCTTCAGTGCCGGCAGAGAGTGTGAGTGGGGCCATCACTGGCAGTGGGTGTGAGAGGCAGGTGCCAACCTCTACCACCCTCAGGAGCAGGGGAAAGTGAAGAAGCCCTAAAGGGTGTTCAGGGCCAGCAGCTGCTGCTTGCACCCACTGATGGCGCCAAGTGACTGGGGCCGGCACCAGGCAATGGCAACAGGTGTGAACAGAGGCTCTGGCACTGGGCGCTGGCAGCAGGTGCGAGTGCTGGGTGGGACCTTGGTGTGCAAGAGCAAAGAGTTTTCAGTAACCACCAGAGGTTTGCCCTGATGACAGTGACTGGCACCATGCCTTGATC